ATTCTGCGGACAAGGTATTCGATAAATTTGTATGTGTAAAGTCCGCAGTCACTTGATCTAAGGTTGTGGACCAACCACTTGGGACGAACGATTGGCCACACACAGTCAAATTTATCGCCCAGATGGTTAAATAAACCTGTGTACTTCAAGAACTTGGGCATCATGACAAAGATTGGCTCCACGTGTTTTTGCATCTGTTGATCTCTGTACATCATAACAGCTGAGTCATACACCTTTATGTTGAATTCAGATAAACTAACATAAAGCGCAACCTAATGTTTCCTCTCAATGTTAAGAGGCATAGTGAAGCTCTGCGCTCCATCACATTTCTGGCCAATTATGTGCTTTTTTTCACAGACATATTCATCCAGGTCGTTGTCAAATGTATACGTTATCAAGTTCTTTTTGTTGGTGATGAATCGCCCTATCAATTTTTGGCAAAATACATCATCTAGGACGATAATATCGTTATTGAATTGCCCTTCGGGTGCCCGTGACCTTCTCATAGATAGAAGACCCCATGCCTCGTCAATTTGCTGTAAGTCATAAAAAATAAATTCAGTATAATGATAATGGTATAAAAAATAAGACTATAAATTTAGAAAATATGTTGTGATTACTTACATCATTGAACAACCATTCACCTGGCTTCAAGATGATCCGGAAGAAGTCATTCTTCCAATCTCCAAAACCGTACTCAATCAGCTCAGAGTCTGTACTAGTATCAACGAACCACTTGTTGAAGGCCTCGACAACATCTTTAAAGGTCCACATCTTCTTCTTCACGTTACGCAGGGGATCTGTGTAAGGCGACTCAAAATACTTGCTGGGCCTTTTAAGTCGCTTTTCATTCTTGGATTCAGACTCTAGCTCTGAATGAACATGTTACTCAAGTTGTTCCTCAGGCTTTGGCTGAACCTGTGGCTCAAGTTCTTCCTCAGACTCTGGCTGAACCTGTGGCTCAAGTTGTTCTTCAGGCTCTGACTGAACCTGTAGCTCAAGTTCTTCCTCAGGCACTAGTTGTGGCTGTAATTGTTGTTTTCCTAGACATGCTATATTGTCCTTAATTTCTCTACCAGATTGGTCTAGCGAGTCTAACCTCTTGTTGATGGCTTCAAAATGTCTACCATTGTACTCTACCATCCTGTGATAGAGTATGTCAAGTATGTAATCAATAGACATACCATCCTGCGGACGAGGTTGTTGTTGTTGTTGTATTTGTTGTTGTTGTTGTTGTTGTTGTTGTTGGGGAAGTTGCTGTTATTTTTGGAGAAGTAGTTGGAGACGAGCCAATTGTTTGGGAGGTTTCGGTTGCTAGACACGGACCATTCTTGCACTAGAGTCCAAAAACGATGCAAGCTGGTCAATCTCAGGATCTTCTTGGTCGGCATAAGGCAGATACAACCTCATGCACATACTATTCATTTCCTCCTCAGTGGGATAAAGAATTGGTACGGCCATTCCCTGTTTATTAAAAGAACATACATTCAATGATTATTTAGGTGGAAACATATTGTAAAAAAAACAAATATGCCTATTTTGTAAAAAAATACCTATAAAACATTGTATTTAAACCCTTACCTCGCCACTTTGCATGAGGTCGTTTATCTGTCTAACCTCGACCAATGAAACCCGGCGTGCCTCCCATTTGAGGATTCTGAGAAGACGTCCATCAACCATCTTTGCAAACGTGGCGCCGATGGTTGGAAATATTTCGAATGCCAAAACCTGCGTTAAACTAATTTTTTTAAGTCTAGTAAAACAAAAAACAAGGTATTATTTACTATAAGGCCATGAAAAATTATGCATATAACTGTATGACATACCTGGAAGGCCCAAGGAAACCCGCATATTGAGTAGGTTTCCTTGATCTCTTATTACGTCCTTTTCGAACCCATTTCTGGAATTTCTCTTTCAAGTTCTTCTTCAAAGCCCGCAGAGCGCATTCAAAAGACATATTGCCCCATGGATAGCTATTGAAGAATTCTAAATCGTCGACGTAAGACAGCCAATCCAGTGGGACGGTCTTCTTCTCGTCCCCGGATAGTAATACTTGTGCTAAAAAATAAATGATAGTGATATTTGCTTTATCGCTACCTTTTATCTTCTTCCCTGTGAGCAATTTCTTTAAATCAACAACAAGTACTACGTGGGACTTAAAATGCTCCAACAATCTTATATTTTTCAAAGGTTTCAACACCACGTCCGGCTCTGGGGTTTTCTCGCAGTTCAATCCAGTGATTAAAGCAAATTC